AGTAGTAGTAGTAGTAGTAGTAGTAGTAGTAGTAGTAGTAGTAGTCCCTGGCTGCGTATCGGACCATGAGTCTCTCTTGGCTGTGGGGTGGATTCCTTGTTTCACCAGATGCCTCGATGATTCTAAGAAGGTTCACGTGTCCTGTGGTGCTCTAGGTTTTGTGGGGTTCTCCACTCCGTTACGCAGGTGAACCAGGTGACCTCAAATCACCGAGCGCCACCGAGGAGATTTCCCGGAGCAGCGACCTGAGTCAGAGCACGCCCGGGAGCAGCGGTCGGTGTTGGACGGCCCGAAACGCAGTTAGGGTGACGCTACGATCTTTTCTTCGTGACCCTCAGATTGAATCGCCATTGATCCCATGTCTTGTGCACTGTTTCCCTCCATTGGGGGGCACACGTGGCACACATGGAAAGGATGATTCAAGTTCAACTGGTGGAGGTTGATTGTGCAAGCTCAACTGTAGGTTTTTTTGGGACGTCCCATCCCTCCGTCCCATCTCTCTAACTTGCGATTTGGTCGGGCCAAATCCCGGGCGATCCGTGCGGTGGTTTGGGGGCGGTTGGATGGTACAAGTCTTTGCCCCAAAGAGCTTCCGCAGCGCAGCTTCCAAGTATGTTGCGAGATTGAGTGGCAGGCGTGTTCTACACTAAAGACTAAAGAACCAATTTCCGCGCAGAGGTTGGGATGGGTATGGATGGGTTGTCTCACCTTGTCACCTTGTGGATGTTCCTCGAGGCTTCGTTGGTTCACCAGAATTGGACCTATTCCGCTGAAAACCCGAGGCTACGCCTTCCTCTTCGGTGGTGCGCCGGTGACGCTGCGGCAAGAGAGCCGCCGTCGGGCGGTGAGTGCTTCCCATTCCTCAGCCTCATCCCAGAGGCTTGGTGCGTCGGGCATGCCGGGCATAGTAAGAATGTGGGATTGGGCGGGATTGGGCGCAGACTAGACTGGTTGGCGGTAGGTTTTGTGAGAAACTTTGGGTAAGGTGGGGGGCTGGAGTTGGGCAAGAACGAGCCCATTCATTTCTGGGCCGTTTCAAAGGCCAGGAAGTGCAGTGGGTTCAGGGGAAGGTCTCTGGCATGGTTTTTGCGGACTGGGAGACACTCCCGCTGGACTCCTTCAGGATGCTCCTGCGAGCGGCAGCAGGCGATTCCCAGGTTTTCGCGGCGATTGTCTCGGCGTCTGATTCCCTAGAAGCTTCAAGCACGTAGCTCTTAGCGACACTTCGCCGATGGACCGAGAGCTGATCATCCGACAGGATCTCCTTGGAAGGATTGTGCACTCGCCTGGCTTCAAGCGACTCAAGCGGGTAAACCCTCGACCTCGGGACCAGGCTCTTTGTCCAGTCTGCCGAGCCTGCAGGGTAGGTGCTGAACTCGGAGAACACCGGACGGTGGCTCTTTTGGGAGGTCCCCGGGGCGTTTGGGACACGATCTCAGGTGAAGTTCTCTGAACGAAACAGACTATTTTTGGGCTTTGTGCTCAACCTAGCTGTTTGCCAAGGGGCATGCTTGCCACTTGTGCTCAGTAGTGTCCACCAAAACACATCTTGGGATGGATGAGTCAGCAAAACAGCCCAAAATCCGCCAGTGGACCGTTTTGTTGCAAAAAGTGGATAAATTGTTCAATGTTGAGATTAAACCTGCCGGGAGGCCCTGTCGGGCCCTGTCCCACCTCCCCCACCATCGTCTCGGCTGAAGTGTTTCAGGTTGAGACGAGTTTGAGGTGCCTGAAGTGAGTGGACCAGTGGGCGGGTGGAAGTGTTTAACCAGGGCCTTCCAATTTCGATCTTCGATAAACCGATCGAAATTCCCGTCGATGAAGAAATCGGACCAGTTGCTCTGTTGTTTTCTTTGGTCGGAAATCCAAAAGGGGAAACTCTGGGGGATGTGCAGTTCACCAGTTCCAAAGAGGATTTTGTCTTGACAATCAACAAATGGCCAGGCTATGCGACACATTTTTCAAGAGGCAGTTAGGGACTAACCGCAGGAGGCCCTGGGGTCTCCCTTTGTCGGCCTTGGCTGCCAGGGTGGAGGAAGCTGATTCAGGCGCAGATGGAGCCCGAGATTGAACTATAGAATGGGATATGATATGAGGTGACATGACCGAGCTTGATGCGTCTTTGAGGCCACTTTCAGATCTTCACCGGTCTCATGGTGAAGCTTGGGGAGACCGAGATGCAGGCGGGCACACAACGGCCCCCGCATGGGCACGCCGGGTGCTGAGCCGAAAACGCGACGCGAGGTCCTGGCGCAAAGCTCCGCCGAGCCGTCGCTCACGGTGCTCTTCACGGAAGGCGAATGGGGTCCGTTGTGGTGGTGAGCAGGCTCGGAGCAGGAGGGTCAAGTTGGAAAGATTCGATATAGATTCATGAAACAACTTCTAGTTTGACTGTTTGGATGACGGCCTGTACAGGCAGTTCTGTGTTTGTACCAACTACTGAATCTACTAAGAAGCAGAGTTTCAAATGAAGAATCAAATCTAGTGCGAAGGTCGAACATTTTTCCACAAGTGTCGTAGGGTGCCCTTTTGACATTGACTGCACGCAGGCTCACAATTTTTGAGTGAATTCCCCGCTTTGATGCCCTCATCCGCCATGCAATGGTTCCAGAACTTAACCTGGAAGGGTTGTCACGTTCCAAAAAAGAAACGGTTGGGTTACGAGTTGTAAGTCGATCGTGCTATGTTTCCGATGGCTAAGAGACTTCCAAAAAAATAGGGCCAACTAGATCATAGTTGGCACTATTTACTCTGTGTCCTCTCAACCTGTTTTGGTATGACTTGGCACTGGTGATGGGGAGAGGTTAGGCTTTGTCACCCCATGTCACCCCTAGCCTGAATCTTCGAGTGAGACTTGATGCGCGGCTTGATCTTGGTGTTGAAGACTTCTCGGATGGCTTGCCACTTCGCAGCACCAAGCTCTGATTGCGGGCAGTAGCGGCCTGACCTCTTTGGGCTGCTCACTTCCACCAGTGGCTGAATCCTTCTGCTCTGGTGAATCCTTCTTCTCTGCTTGTTTGGCTCTGCCGCGCGTGGTCTTGGGAGCTTTCTCCCCTTCTCGCTTGCCCTGCCCGTCCACAGCTTCACCACCTTGCGCAGCATCACTGCTCTTGCCTTTCTCAGTCTTCTGCACTTTGCTTGCATTCTCATCTTTCTCAGCTTTGCCCTTTCCACGCTTCCTTGTAGCCTTTGCTGATGCGTCAGCTTTGTCTACATCAACAACTTCTGGTGCATTTGTGGTCTGCGCCTTGCTCTTCCCTTTGCCTCTTCCCCTTCCCTTGCCACCTCGACCCCCAGAACTAGCAGAAGGTTGGTCAGGAGTTGGTTCCTCAGCTTCACTTTTTGCTTCCTCAGCTTCAACTTTTGCCTGGTCTTCACGAGAATGGTCATCGCCGTCATTGCCGGTCACGTCCACCACCTTCCCGAGTTGGTCAGAGCGCCTCACTAGCGGAGCCTCCCAGGTACATGAATGGGAAAAGTGAGTGGGCTTCATTGGTATGAAGTATATTTTGAACAGGCAGGGTACCTTTTTTACTTGAAGGTGTCCCACCAAGCCTTCATGTGCAACAAATCCGGTTCCTTGGGTTCATCCGGCTTTGAAGATTCACCACCATTGGCGCTCAGCTTGGCAGCCTTTGCAGGAGGTGGCTGGATGGCAGCTTCCGCGTCAAGTTCCGGCTTCTGAGAAGGTGCGGCATTGATGGGTTCTGCCTCCTTCCCATGAGACACTGGCGGCAAAGCCTCTGGTGTCTTCAGCGCCGGCGATTCCAAGCCACTAGCTTGTGTAGGAATCTCTCCGGCAACCACGGCAGCAAGCTCCAAAGTCTTTGAATCGGGGTCCACTGTCTCTTGAGTCACAGGATCCCTGGAATCAATTTCCATTGGCAGAGTCACCAATTGATCCACATAACTCCCACTAGCAGAGGCAGGTCCTCCATTGTTCTTTGATGTTTTCATACTGACCACAACTTTGCCTGTCAACCGCCTCAAAAAACACAAACAAAGCAAACGAGTTCCAGATTGATTGTCCCGTAAAGTCCTCCATCGTGAGCGAGAAGGGCAGCAGCTGCAGCTGCAGATCGTTCTGCTTGTTTGCGGGCAAGCTCACACCTACCAGATCAAGCAAATAACGGGGTAACAACATGTAACAACCATGTTTATTAACAACCATGTTTACTAGCTGTGGTGTCGGGCTGGCATGGCTAGCGGATTTGCAGAAAATGCAGGGGCAATACCCTTGCAAAGCATCATACTGGAGTCATACTGATACAACGGGCTGGCCTGAGGGCTTCTCTCCAAGCCAGGAGGGCTTCTCGATCAAGTTCTGGCGACGGCGATGTTCGTGTCACTGGCGATGGCGATGTCAGGGGCTCAGATCTGGGCGTCAGTGTTGGTCGTCCGGAGTTCGGTGGCACGGCAAGATCTGCAAAGGTTGCAGGGATACCCATCATCAACCATCTTTGATGGTTCAGGGCTAGCTGCACCACCGGGGCTGAGTGCTTGAGGGTGTTCATCTGGGTCGACTTCAATCACACCATCTTCAATTGCCAAGATCTGGGGTGGTGCAGGCGGCTCAGGCTCAGGACTTCCCAGTGAGTGGAAAAGGTGTCATAGATGTCCAGCAAGCAATCATCCTTGTGGGATGAGTCATGAACTGATGCCGGGATGTTTTTGATTTTGTCAGGGAAGGATTAGACAAATAAAACCAAAAACTTTATGATGTCAAAAAGCCCGTGGGTTCAGAGAGTTTGCAAGCCACCTCCGCAAACTGTAAGAGAACAGTTTCTTCACTCCCCAGGAGTCTATGCTCCACTGGCAACATCCGTGGGATCTAGATGAAGTAGAGTCCGGAATCTCTTCACCTCAAATGTTGGCCAAACCGATGGGTCAACGATCTATTGACAAGTACGTCTTAGTCATGAACAAGTACGTCTTAGTTTTGTGCCTTTGTTGTGGACTAAAGCAACTTGAAAGCAGGTACGATGAAGCGCTTGGACCACACATGTTTCCTTTTGAAAAACCAGCGATGCCTCCTCCCTGATGGTTGCAATCTGGAGCGACTCCGGCTGATCGCACTGTGGAGCCCACCACTGCGCAGTCAATTCGATGATTACCCGGTTCATACTTACTGAAAGCACGTAGGGATGGTGCTCCAACCAAGTGAGGCTCCAGCCAGACCAGGATCCGGTGCTCGGCTCTGGCCCTCTCCCGGACCAAGTCTTCACGCTCCCACATCCTATGAAGTTCCGCCATCCTTTGACCAAGGCGTGGAAGTGAGAGGGCCGCTTGAGCAAGGGGCTGCCACAGCCAGTCAAACAGAAGAGGCATGTTCAGTGTTCAGTGAAATCTGGACCCATGCAATCTATTGCGAAAGGGAAGGGATCAAAAGGCTCGGCGAAGAGACAGGAAAAAAGTGGTTGGCCAAGCGCACTTCTTGGTGTTGATCGGGGCTCCAGCGCAGAGCACCCGTCATCAAAATGAAGAAAATGCTGCGGGAGCAAACAAGAAGCATGAAATGCAAGAATTGACGAACACCATGAAAACCATATTCTTCTCATCGAAGCAAAAATTATGACCCTAGTGGAAGAGACAGGTATACCTAGCATACCTACAAAAGTTGTAACCCACTTACTAAACTACTTACCTAAGTTAAGTGGTTTACAAACTATTTACAGTAGCTAGCTTTTGTTGCTTAGCTAAGTGTTCAGCTATATATTCTGACATGTTATTGGCATGCCAGTACTAATAGCATGGTTTTCAAAGTTTTATTTTGGGGGTTGAAAGCTGTGCATGTTGCAAGTATATATTACACTTGTGCTGTGAGGTTTCTGAACCAGCGCAATGTTTGTGTTGTTATCACGGGCCCAAATTTGTCAGTATCTTTATGATCCCTCATGCATGCGGCCTTGGTTGCCCATATATTCTTTTGGTTTCTTGGACAAATTCCTCGAGAAACCAGCCAGATCGCCTCCATTTAAGGGGTTGCTAAGCAGAAGTGGACTCTGCATTTTGTTGCTGCCAACACCACCCCGCCAAGAACATCAAACAACCGAACGGAACGTGGAAGATGGACGCATCAAAAATAGTCGGAGCCCGGAGCATCACCCAAAGGAATGTTGTCATCTTCTAAATTCGCAAGTGTCTGGGGGGGTTCATCTCCTGACATTTTTGGCCGATCGAACTCCATGGAGTTTCTTGTTACTCCATGGACATTATGTGGCAAAGATTTGGGGAATCCCCTCTTCCAAGGAGGTGTGCCCTCAGGCCCTCAGCTTCGGCGGTGCGGTGCGAGGTATCTCTTGGGTGGGCCCAGCTGATGGGAGGGCTTTTTGGGTTCCCTTGCTTCCTTGTCTTGTTTTATTGTTTCCAATAGCGATGGAAGACCAATACCTCCAATAAGATTTTCAAATTTGGTACCTTGATATCTGGTCTTTTCTCAGGCACCTCCGAACGTAAAGAAGATTGCTTTCGTCGATTTGTGGGACCCAACCAGGGCTCCCGAGGACTGTGCTTTGATCCCACTGGGGGTGCAAGCGAAGTTGGCGGCTGAACCGATCACGCATTCAAGCGGCTGTAACGCCAAGGTGCCAGAGAAACCAGCACAGGTGCTAAGTTGTCTGAGGTTGTTAACATCTCTGTGCACATCTTGGGGAAGACCCTGAGTCTCGCAACCGACCTCGTCATAGGTATTTGTAATTCTTGATAGCGAATATGTCCAGCGAGCCTTTACCGACTCAAGTTGGTTGAGAGTAGCAAGATTGTCATTGTCCGATTGGCAGGCGCGCTGAGGAGAGGGTCTCAAGGTTTTGCAGAGGGCTGAGAAGCAAGACACTTCCCCAATCTCAGCAGGTTGAAAGATGACATAGGGACACTTGGACACCAAACCTTGATGGTTATGGTCAGTCCTTTTCGCTTCTTCCCTCTCTCTGTCTCTCTCGCTCTCTCTCTCTCTCATGTTTTGACATCCATGATGCATCTTGAGATCTTCAACATCAGGGGTTAGTATCCTTTCCGCTGCAGAAACTTTACAAACACACACACTTCGACATTGGTTTTCCGTTAGAGCTCAATCTCTCCGCTGGGAAGGAAGGTGGTGGAACAGCATGGCGAAAGGTCCGAGAAAATTGTAGGTGTTTGAACAAAGGTTGTTTCCCTTGACTGCGGTGACGAAGCGGCTCAAGCTGCAGCGCTGCTGGGGAGGAAGTGGTTTAGGGGGAAGGTATCATGAAGAACCATGGAAACAAACCAGGCAGATTAGACAGCGTGGTCAAAGGTTGCTGTGGCAGGTACGTCACGGTGATCAGCCGTGATATCTAGTCAACTGCATGGAGCTTCGTTGGCGACAGCCATGCAGCGACTCTGTCGCCCCCTGCCCAAGGTAGTTGAAAAGCATGGAAAGAGTGGTGGTGGAAGACCCTTTGTCCAGGGGTGGACACACACAGGTCGCCGCGTTCGGCGCTTTTTTCAAAAACCGGTGGCAGGCGTGATAGTTATGCCCCTTTTTGGACATATAGATTCACGAGTTCGGCCGCAGCAGCGTCAGCGCTGGAGGGTGGAAATGTGTATTTGCGAATGGTGTGAAGTCGTGATTGGAGGCCTGATAGAGCCAAGCGCTGGCTCCCGGCAGTGGTGGAATCCCGGATTTTCCAGGGTTGAGAAGGTTGCATGTAGGTGATGGTGCGTTGTGGGAGGTCGATGTTGAAACCGAGGAGATGAAAATCCTCCACTGGTTCTAGTTCCACAGGGTCGCCAAAGAAATTGTGGTGGATGAGGGTTTGGATAGCCGGGTGTTGAAGGAAATGTTCGTTGTGGACAATGAAGCGGTTGTCGACATAGCGATAGTAAGTAAAGTGGAGGTCTGTGTGTTGAAGGAGGTTGTTGTGGATCTGATGCCAGGAATGCTCAATAGGGGTGATGGCAACGTTGCATAGGGCTGGAGAGAGCTGGGATCCAATCCCGGCCCCTTGGATTTGTTTGTAGTATTGTTGCAAGCCCGGAAAATGCATGTGTTGAGGGCAAAAGCCACGATGGTGGTGATGTCGGAAGTCTGGATGGTGCGTTGGGTGGGGTGTTTCTGATGGTGTCTGCCAATGTGTGAGTGGTGGAAAGGATTGCCGGTGGCCTGGACATCCACCGTTAAGGTGTGTGTGGATTGCTGTTGTTGCCAGTGGTGGACGAGGGAGTGAACTGCGTCGATGAGTCGGTGCTGGGGAACGGAGTTGAAAAAGCCGACCAGGTCATCGTTGGTGGCGTGTAGTGAGATGTCAGGTGGGGTTTGGGTGAGGTAACTGTGAAAGTGGTGCCACAGCTGGGGAATGGACATTTGGCCTGGATGTTGAGGGTAGAGGTGTTGGAGGATGATGTCAAGGGCACGGCTGGTGATGCGTAGCAGGTTGCCACTAAGTGATTGGAAGTATGAAATGATTGTACGGCCTTTTTGCCAGTGCTTCTTCTCCTTGAGGTGGACAACACCGTAGGGAATGTTGAAGTCTTTTCGGAAGCCTCACTTGTAGCGAGTGCGCAGGATGGGGGGGACAGTGGCGGCCAGGTGGTCGTGGATGTTGGCGGCAGTGATGTAGGGAAGTGGTTCGAAAAGTTCGGGGGATTGCCAGGTGTTCAAGGCGCCAGTGAAATATTGGCGAGGGCAAAACAGCCGAAGTTGTTGGAGCTCATGATCGGCATGGTGGAGCAATGTGTGTTTGCCCAAATGTTCTTGGAGTTGGCGAAGCAGGCGAGCTGTAAAGCGGGGTTGTTGCCTGAGGTGTGTGTTGTGAAGGCGCCATTGGTGCTCAAGGAATGGTTGTAAATGCTGAACGAGGGATGGTGGAAGCCCTTGTAGTTTGAGCCATTTTGTGTAGGCCGTCTTGAATATGAGGAAGTATCGAGCTTTGCTTGGGTAATAGGTGCTGTTCATATTGGCGTTGAGAAAAATGCCGAGGTGTGTAGGGAGTTGGAGTTGGTCCAGTGTAAGGATGTAGTGGCCGTTGATGGTGGGGGTATCGGGATCCTGCAATGGGGTGCGAAGGTGATCGCATGCACAGGGGAGGTCTGCTGGATCTGGCGGGGAGTGGAGGGTGTCCTCCCATGTGCGGTGGTTATGCAGGTGGGAGCGGAGGGTTTTGTGGGCGGCTTCTCTCAGTCTGTGGGAGGGGAGGTGGAGGGGAATGGTGAACTGCTTGTGCTGCTGGATGGTAGTACGAAGCCACTGCTGGCAGTGCTTAGTAAAGTCGTCATGGGCCAAGAAGGGCACTGTCAATGGGATGTTTTGTTTTGGCGGCGTGAGGTTGCGGTAGATCAGGGCTTTGTTGAGGATGTGGAGGGCTCGGCTGCGGCCAGGTTCTTCCAGGTTTGCGGCCATGCGCCGGATTGCATAGACTTCGAGGTCCGTGTGGCGGCCGCTTCGTAGCTCTTTGGCTGCTTCAAAGGAGGCTGCGGTGTGTTTGGTAAGGTTGCGAAGAAGTTGGAGGGCGTGATGCTTGGTGGAGGTGTAGAGGTGTGGTTCCCTGAGGGTGTACTGGCGTTGCCGAAGGCGTCTGAAAAGTCGTTTGTGGGTGGCTAATCTGGAGTAGAAGTGGGCTCTGTGTTTTGTGAACTGCCATCCCTGAGCTTTGAGCTTGAGGTGGTGGGAAATGAAAGGCCAGTTGAGCGGAGGCATCCAGTTTGCGATGTAGTGGTGCTCTTGGATCCAGGCTTGGTCATATGTGTCATGGGAGGTAAGTTGAATGGTGGTGTAGTGGTGGATGTTGTTGTGTGAATGCCAATAACGTAAGGAGAGTTCTGCAGAAATGGGAATGTTGTTTTGGAGTTGTTTGAGTTTGGCGCGGCGATTGTGCTCGCGGTGGGGGATGCCAATAGCTGTGGAGCCAACATAGAAGTGGCCATGCTGATGGTAGCAGCGTTGGGGCTGGTCGGGATTGAAGTGGAGCTTGATGTAGACTGAATTGGAGGAGAGGAAGTTGTGGTAGTGGTAGGTGTGGGGCAAAATGTGGAGCTGGCGGAGACGGTTGCGCCATTGTTGTGAGCGACGGGTGTTGGAAGGGTATGCGAAAAGGAGGGTGATATGAATAAGGCCGGTTGCAAAGATGGCCTCGGCACGGTCGATGTATTGGGTGCGGTGAATGAGCATAGAGAGTGCTCGGTGCAAGTGGAAGAGTTGGGTGAGGTTGGTGTGGCTGGGTTGCTGCTGGGCAAGGATGGCGAGTCAGCAACCGATGGCTGCTCCAACACCCACCAGCTGTTGTAGGCTGCGAATGGGGAGTCGGTTGACCCGGTTGAGGGGTAGGCCA